AGAAGACACAGAGGAGTCACGGCAGCCGGTGGCCACGTGTGGGGTGAGGTAGGGCTGACCACGTCTGCCCAAGCTGGACATCTGAGCATGTTTTCAAGAATAAACAAGAGTCTGCTAGGCAGACAGCAGGATACAATACAAAGTAAGGACCAGGCATTTAGGGAACCCAGACTGCCCCCAAGCAGGCAAACCTGGGAGCTCTCCTTTGCCACCCACTAGCCCTGGGCCGGGCGTGCCCTCCTGACCTGAGACAGGCAAGCCCTCAGCGACTCACACAGCTGCCTGTGCAAGACACTAGGTTCTCAACCTTCCTAATGCCGCGACCCTTTAATACAGTTCCTCATGTTGTGGTGACCCCCAATTTCAATTGTTACAAATTGAACATAATTAAAGCATAGTGATTAATCACAAAAACAATATGTAATTATATATCTGTTTTCCGATGGTCTAAGGTGACCCCTGTGAAAGGGTCATTCAACCCACAGTTTGAGAACCGCTGCACAAGACGCAAAGGCGGGCTTCACCTCCTGGGCCTACTCTTGGGCCACGAGGATCTAAAAACACCAGTTTCCCCCCAGATGCTAAACGCCGGTCACTATGGGTTACTATGAAGCACTGTAACTTTTCTGGAAGGGCTCTCCCTATACTTACGCTCTGACCCGTGAAGCTGGGTAACATTCTCCAGACGGGCCTCTGCTGAGCGCCATCATCCTGGCTCTCAGACAAGCCACCCCCCGCCCACCCCGCCCCCGGGCGCCCCGCCCTGGAATCAAGAGCCTTTTCTGACACCTCCAGTTAGTTTCCATGGGCTCTGCTCCCCTTTAGAATCTGCTGCAACAACAGGATGGCCAGGAACTTGAAAAACCCGCATCTTACATGCTGCCCCGTGCTCAGCCCACACGATGGGCCTGAGGGGAAGCCACGCACAGGACAGACCTGGTCACAGCGCAGAGCTTTGGGTGGGAAATGAAAGACGAGTTCAGTTCAAACCCTGCTGACACCACATCAGCCAGATGACCGAGGATAAGCTGCTTAGCCTAGGTGTGTCCAGGACCCGACGCCGACTCTCCGCTCCACCAGGGCCTGCGGGAGGCCGGGAGGCCGCACACTGCGGCACTACACTTTCCTCAGCTACGCTGGGCTCAGACCACGCTTCCGCCACCCTCCAAAACACTAGGCGGGAGAGAGCGGGCAGCAGGGGCACAGTCCCCGTGAGGGCTTGCTGACAGCACTGCCTTCCCCATGGAGGCACAGGGATTCACGGCGAGGCGTCTCTGTGCTCTGCCCTCCATGTCCTCGGGAGGCCCGGGTCTCCACACATCCGATAAATAAATGCTGGGCAAAGTCCATGAATGCAAGGAAAGGGGATGACCCGAGGGCAGAAAGATCAAGCAGCGTCCGGCCGGCTTCTCTGAGGCCCTTTCACGGGTCCCGCGGCCGTCGTCTTGCACGTTAATATTCATGTGCACTGGGAGGAAGTCACAGAAAGAACTAAGCCCCCTCCCCTCGGAGGGAGTCACCGAGAAACCAGCAGCACCACCTGCCGCTGGCAGGAGCCAGCAGGGCCCTGAGTCGCAGGCTGTGCGCCCACCTCGTGCCAGGCGGGCTGCTTTGTGTCGGGCGGTGGGGGAAGTGCCCCGCCGACCTGGCAGGCTCGTTTCCTCCTCTCAGTCCTTAGAATTTCCTCCCAAGGCCAAGCTGCCCACGCTACTTGGGAAGAAATGGGAATGGCAGGGCTTGCTATACACAGAGGCTTTCAAAACAGTGTTTCTTTCATCCAGAGGGTGCAACTAACAATGTCTGAAAAGAGACCCTCTAATCTTTCTAATTTCTGAGGATGTTCAGGGTAGTGGGGCGGCCCTGAAAACACACAGACTTCTCTAGCAGACTTTACTAGAGACTAATCCGTAAACCTGACACCACACTGTGCTCTGGGGCGGTGTCTTGGGAGATGAAAGCCAGGGGGCTGCTCCCATGCTCTGGGGAACTCGGTAGCTGTCATCAGACCCTCTCCTGCAGCCCATGGGAGCGGAGTACTGAGAGTGCAAAGCCACCCCCTGTCCAATGGGGTCTAGCCCGGCACGGTCCCCTGAAGCCACGCTGTGTAGGGTGTTCACATGCCTGGAAATGCTCATTATGTGGTACAAATGGAAATCTCAATCTCAATCTCTCTCTCTCTCTCTTCCCCCTTTATATGTATATATTAGATATATACACATATACACACAACTGTATATACAATATGACCCGACCACATCAAAACCTAAGTGCCCAGAGAGAAGAGGAAGCAGACCAGCTAGCATGTTCATCCAGGCACTGCCAGTGCTGGAGGCTGCGATGGCTCTCCCAGGACCTGCCCCACAGAAGGCCTCGCAGCCGTCTAGGACCATGTGACGACTCGAGCACCGAGGATCAGAGCACAGACCTGTCTCTAACTTGCTGTGTGATCCCACAACACGAGAGCCTCTCTCGCCTTTAGTGGCCCGTTTTCTCCCAAGTCCCTGGGAAAATGCCAAATGTATCAGAACCAAAGAGAGGGCCCTGGGTCAGGAAGTGGAAAAGGACAGATGGCAGCCCAGGAACCACCTGTGGGCACCTGCAGATATATTTTGATTAGCCCCAAATATTGTCAACATTTAAATATTAATATATTTCAAAAATGCAGGTTTCAATTGTTTCTTTTAAAAATTAGATTCATAATAACCCCAAAGTGGAAGTAACCCAAGTATCCATCAAGTGCTAAAGGGCTAAACAAAATGTGGTATTATCTATAAAATGGAGTATTATTCAGCCATAAAAAGGGATGCAGTAGGGATACATGCTAGTATGTGGGTGAACTTTGAAAACACTCGAAGGGAAAGAAGCCAGTCACAAGGGCCACGTGTGTGATTCCATTACACGTATGAAATGTCCAGAATGGGACTACTGGGGGAGGGGCACCAGAGAGGGGCTGCTGAAAGGGACAGGCTGCCAGAAACGCCCTGCAATCCATGCTGATGAGTGGCTAAGAACCACGGAACTGCCCACTTTCAATGGTTAAAATAGTGCATCTTATGCTTTATGAATTCTATCTTGATTAAAAGTGAATTGGAAGAGGAAACCTCTGCCTCTGGGCACCAGCTGCCTTTCCCCAACTCACCCACCTCTGGCCAGCCTGTCGATGCTGCCTGCAGTGTGAGAACCCCAACTGCTGGAGGTGATCCTGCCCCCCAACAGCAGACTCCCCAGTTCCCCGCGAGGGTCACGTCCCTGGCTCAGTCATTCAGTTCCAGGGCATAGCCCTGTCCACCAGCCAAAGGAGGGGCTGGGCAAACTTGGTCATTTACAAAATATTTATTCTACCGCTTCCAACCAGGTCCCACAAACAGTAGAAACAGGGTAGAAGGGAAAGCTGTCTCCGTCCCACCACCTGGCCCCATGCCCCTCCCCAGAATCAGCCGCTGACTCAGCATAATTCAGTCGCCTTCCTCTCCCAGGCTCTTCAGAGAAGACCACGCGTTCATTCAATGATCAGTTACCGTTTTGAAAGGGACTGACAGTCTTTCCTGAAGAACGTCCTTATCCATACCTTAGGGTGGCCAACACCACTGCTGTCCCCACAGGCAGTGCCAAGTGGGCGCCTCCAGCAGACCCGCCTTCACTGCCCACGCACATGGCCATGGACCACGCAAACCAAGCTCCTGGCAGCCTTGGTGCTGGCCATCAGTGAGCAGAACTGTGGACCATTTGGCCTAGGGTTTGCCCCGAGGCCCAGAGGGCTCCTGCCAAAGGAAGGTGGGGCTCTGTCTGCCTGGTCCCTAAAGCCAACATCACCCAAGGACACCCGGTGCCAACACTGTCTCTGGACACGTCCAAGCACTTGGCAAAGCTGCCAGGCCCCGAGTAACCACGAAGCCACCCATCCCCGCTTTCCAGCCCTCATTCTCCCACCCCCACCTCAACCCCTGCTGCCCAATTTACACCAGGAAGGTCCCCACGCCTGTACAGCTACACCACTGCATGCCCTCCTGCCCCTCACAGCCGAGCCTTCTGCTGGGAACACTCGTGCCTCTTCCTGGCCTGGCTACTCCTGCTCTCCCTTAAAGATTCCTCCAACATGCCTGCCTCACCCCCACCCCCATCTCCTGATAAGCCCACCTCCTGAGCTAAGCGCTGCCCCAGGATGCTCTCCACTGCCACCAAGACCCAGCCCACACCTGACCGGAACCTTGATTGTGTCTGGGCCCCTGCCTGACAGGACAGCCTGGCATTTGGTACACTCCAGCAAGCATCCGGGGAACGCGGCAGAATACAGAACATGGTTCTAGTGGGGGAAACAGAGATCCCAACAGATATAGGCAAGTTGCCACAAAACATACAGTTCAAAGTTCGTAGGCAGAAAACCACAGACCACCATGGCCCGCAGGGTCCAGAGCACCCAGAGTACAGGTGGGGTGGGAAGCTATTGCCTGCCGGTCAAGCTGTGTGCCCAGCGATCCGGAAACCCATGTGCCCAAGATTTCCACCCACATTAAACCAATCATGCTACACGCAGGTTTCAAATCTCTTCTTACAAATTTTCTTACATTTGGCATTAAATAGAACTTTAAAATGTTCATGTAGCCTAGTAAACTGATTTACTATTGTATTAACTAGTAAGTAAGACCAATTACAGCAAATGTATCCCCTTTTCATTCGCAGTCATGTCAGTACATCATAGCCACTTGATTCCACATTTCATGTTGTGTATTACAGTTTGTTAACCTGGGTGCTGGGTGCAATTCTGAGGCTGAGAGAGCTGACGCGCCCCCGGTGGGACAAGCCATTTCTGATACACGTGGGAAGCAGAGAGGACGGCTGCTTTCCCTCCACCAAAGCAGAAACCATTCAAAGCAGAATGAAAGCGTGCGCCCCACAGTCCTCAGGGGGAGAGCAGCAGCCTGGGCCCCCACCCGGGGCCAGACCCACTCCCACCTCTGCCAGATGAGAGAGAGCAAGCAGCTCTGCCCTGCTGCCCTCACCCATTCCACAAGCATGCAGGAGAGACAGACGAGGGATCGTTACCGCATGGCCAGGGATTCGAAGTGCTGGCTGGGGCTGCGGGCCCACCCCAGGGGTTGGTCTGGTTAGCTGAGGCTGACGGGCCCCAGGGCTCAGCTTGCTGGGCAGCAGGGCCTGAGCTGGGGAGGGCATCCATTAAATCCAACAGAGTGGTTTGCTGTGGGTAGGAGCTGGGCTTTTGAGAAAAAGAGAAGGAGACAAGTTTTACTTTGCTACAGTCTAGCCAACATCCATTTGTCAGCCATAAATATTGCCCGTGCTTCTTACTAGAATAGAGTCCCTCTCGAGGGGCGAGAAGCCTTGGTATTGAGCAGCCCCGTGCCCTGGCCTGCCCATGTCCCTCTGCCCCCAGCATTACCATAGCCACACTGAGCTATTTACTATGTGCAAAATGACCTGCCCACTTTCAAACAGTCCTAGGGATTTCCTGCATGACCCCAGGCTTCCTCCTCCTTCCAGAACGCACACCACACCGCCTTGCTCCCAGCTGCCAGGGATACTTTTGGGACTGTGATATAGGTGGCCACTGGAGCCCCTGGCCCTGTGGTTTGAGGGGCTGAATCCTGACTGGATGATGAGCTTGTCGGGAGCAGAGCCATGTCCTGGTCACCCTGAGGTACGAAGCAGGAAGTCTGGCATAGAAATGATGACAGCAAGGAAGACCAGCACTATGAGGGCTGGCCCTGTGCCAGGAAATGGTGCCAAAGCACCTGACACTGAGCTTACGTAACCAACAGCCACCATCACTGCACAAGGTGGGCTCTACTACCTGCTATTTCACAGGGGGCACTGAGGTACATACAAGTCAGCACGGGGAATGGGAACCTAGGCAACTAGTCCCCTTGTCCATGCCCATTTCTCTCGGGTGGTCTCAGGAGGCCACCACAGCCTAGGTGGCTATGGTCAATTCCGTCCTCACCTCGCTCTTGCTCATCCCAGGCCTCAGGACTACTTGCAGAACCAAGAGAAGCCGCCCGTGGGAGAGCGGCCCGGGGCATGTGCACTGCACTGCGGGTGGGTTGGGCCCTTCAGGAACTACTGCGGGGCAGTCTCCACGCGCTCACCTTCTAGCGAAGCACTCACCTCCTGCTTTTTTGGAACTTTAACGGTGTCTCTCCGGCTTTCTTCCAGGGCCATCTGCAGTCTGAGATCATCACCCCGCCGGAGGCGCTCTTCCTGGAGAGGACAATGAACTTGAGGCTGGGGTAACTGCAATGACATCACTCTATAGAACAAAGCAACCAGGCCAGAGCCAGGAAACCGAGATTGTATCGTGTGCTATTTCAAAAGAGGACTCGGAAACAACTTGCAGGACACAGTGACTCTTCTGTGACTCCCTGCTCACCCCCACACCCGCCTTGGGGTCCCAGGGAGCCTGGGGCACAGGCACCACAAATTGGGGAAAGGGAATACTTATTATCAAGTGTTTTTTCTCAAAATGAAAATGGCTTTATCATTCCAAATACAGCAGCAATAGGTCAGCTTATAAAAGTAGACAATCCGACAGCCCAGAAAGGAATCAAGAGGAAAATCACATCCTGTCCCCCTCCCACTGTGCACACCTCCAGAAATGACTGTTTATTTTCTATGCTTTCTAACAAAGATAATTCATTATAGCCACCATACCCAAAAGACTGGGTCATCCTAGCTATTAAATGATTAAATATTAGTAAATAAATCCATTACGTTTTATTATAAATATAACAAATCACAGACATGCTATTAAGTAAAATGGGCCCAGAAGATCCACCTGTCCTTCCATCTAACTGTCTGTAGTATTTTTCCTTTTTCCAGTGTTCAGATGCTGTTGGTTCGTCTCACCAGACTTCCCAGGGCTAAGCCGTTGTGAGCCCACACACCAGTGTCGAGGAAGCCGTGGACACTCAGCTTGTGCAGAGCGAGCCCGTGAGGCTTGGCCATGTCGGCAAAAGGGTTTCTGGGAAGCACTTTTGCCTGGTTTGTCCCTTGGCAAAGCCTTCCTTCCCTGAAGACCTTTCCTAAATGTGACTTTGCGTAGGACCCTCCCTGACTGGGGCAGGAGGTGACAGAACACACAGGTGGCAACACACGTCATTCCCAGAGCGTGGGGACAGGGCAGGTGTTTGTCCCCCCTGGGGTCCCTGCCCCCCGGCACAGGGCAGCACACAGTGGCCCTGGGCACAACCTGCTCAGCTACTTCTCTGCTCATGGCAAGCGCCAGCTGCAGCTGTAGTTCCTCTTCTCCGCTAGTCTGGGGCCGGGCCTGCTCCAGCTCAGAGGACACCCGAGGGGAAGTGGCTGTGGGAAAGGCAAGCACAGGTTCATGCTCAGTAGGTACCCAGGCAAATCACAACCCATCCCACCTCACACCCACACGGTCTGGCAACACCCCAACAATACGGGGATTGAACGGTTTGCAAACATTTCAAGGTTTAAAGCAAGTAACGTCAGATGTGGTTTCACAACTGCCACATGGCAACAACCGAGAGAAGATGCCTCAGGCACACGCCCAGCCCTCGGCCCCCAAGGATTTGCCCCTCAGCCTGCATTGCAGAGCTGCCCTGCTTCGGAGCGGAACTCGTTTTGTAAGATGGAGAGTATAGCTCCTGAAAAGCTGATCAAAGAGCATCAACCAAGGGCAGGGCACCTATGGGCCAGAGCGCCTCTGAGACGCCCCCAGCATGAGAATCTCACTTTGTAGCTCATGGCTTTCAGGGTCATGGACAATGACAGCCAAACATTTCTGCAGTCACCCTGAAAACTTTTGTTTAAGTGAAACTGTATACGGACTTGAAAAAAATCAAGCATATGCTTCTTTAAACTCCTGTAAGCAGCTCCTAGAAAGACAGCTTTTATTGACGGGATGAGACAGTTCCTAGCTGGTGTGACAAAGCCCAAGGAAAGAGGTGTGTGAGGCTAGCCTCCCTGGAAATAAACAACGCTGGGGCTCTCAGGCTACCACGTTGTCTGTGCGTCAGGGTGTCTCAGTGCTTCCAGAAATTAGATATAAAGCTCTGGGAGCATGTGCCTAAGTGTGCGCCCATCTCTGCCCCCCCCCGCCCCCCAGACAGGATCCACACTGCTCTGAAATTCTCCAAGGGAGGCCTGCCATCTGAGAGAGGATTGGAACCCCTGCCATAGATGGTTCTGCACCTGCCCTCCCTCTGGGCCTCCGTGCGTGCGGTTCCTCAGCCCACCCCTCTCCCCTCAGGCCTCAGAGCTCAGCTTCCCGTGCCAGGGGTTCCAGGACTGCCCTCCGCTGGGGCTGGTCAGCACCTCCTCTCTCATGGCACTCGCCCCCTTCTGCACCTGGGTAGGTAAATGCCAGAAGACACTACTTGGGGAAGCCCCAGGCCCGCCTTCTCATTGTTACTTCAACTAACAAGGGTTGACAGAGCAGCTGGCAAATAAATAGCCATTGAGTGGAGAGATGCTGCATGCACATGGATGGACAGACAGAGGTAGAGAATTCAACTTCATGGCTGATGGTAATTGTTTGAAAATGCTTTCATTGTGTATTAGTTTGCTCCTTCTTTCCTTGCGTCCACTCTAACAAACCCAGTCATCAGGATTGACCAAAATCCTGCTTTTGCCTAAATTTCCAATCTTAACTCAGCACTCAGGACCTGCCTCTGGGAGAAAGTAAGAGGTGGGGAATGATTTCTGACAGATGAGGTTTCTAGATGGCTGGGTTCTGGCTGCAGTGAATTAAACCAGAGAAGCAGGCTGGGTAGAGTTGGGGTCGTGGAGGAATCCACAGAAGAACCAGGTGAGGCCGGGGCTGCTCCGGGCAGAGGCTGGAGTAGAGCAGGCTAGGAGACGCTAAGTGGCGTTGCTTTGTCACACAATTAAGAAAAACACATAAAATATACATCGGCAAGATTTCATTCAGAACAATTCAGTGGTGTTTGCTATGATTTATTATCAACCAAAGAACCATCCAAAAAATGCTGCCATTATTAAAAAAAGATACTTCTAGATAAAATCAAGTCAAATCCCGGCCTAATGCATCACCACGATATTTTACCAAGCATTTCTTTAGAAATAAAGCTAGATGACATCCAAATGTCCTCATATCCATCTGGATAATTTGATTTCTTAATAATATACCAAGACAAAAATACATATTTTGCTCTCAAACATCCCTTAGCCCATCACAGCACTTGCGTTAGGGCTTTATTGTGCTCTGGAAGCAGAGCCATCTCCATCCAATTGGGAGAAACAGAGCCAGATGCTTCGGGGGGGGGGCGCTTGTGGGGGACAGTTCCGGAGGCATCGGGGAGACAGTTCTGGGGGATTCTACTGAACTGAATGCGACTCTTCTGTCCAGACCACCAGCCACTCAGCCTGCCCGTTCCCAGCCTCTTTCTTGATAAAGAATCTCCCAGGCTTGCTTCACAAAGCACTCCATTTGAAACCAACACAGTGCATCTGACACCCTTCATTTACTACCAAATGGAAATGATGAGCGAAGAAAGAAGACCTCATATCCTAGCTCACATCCCCAACAGTGCTCAGAGCACAGCCCCATCTTGGCAGGGAAAGCAGCCTTGGCAGCAGCGCCACGGCCGACTCCGCACGGGATGAATGGGCTAGGGCTCCGAACAGTGACCTCCCAGAGCAAGGGGCCTCCCGTCCTGGGCGCCTTTCAGCACATCTGCGAGGCCAGGTGGCTTCAAATGCAAATGCACCTGCTTCGTCTACCAAGAGTGACGCTGTTAGAAAGATGCACAGCCGCCACACGGAAATAGCTCACCACATCAATGAGGAAATGAGAGACAAAGGGCATTCCCCTAAATGCTGTGGCTTTTATGAACGGAGGCCCAAGCTCTCAGTTCCGCAGGTGGCGGAATCCACAGCCACTGGCCCTGAGCATCAGCTGAGCTCACACAGGTCTCAGCTGTGAGGAGGATTCCAACAGAGATGTTTTTGCATTAGTGACAGCATCTTGGCCCCATAAAGGGCCTCTGTGCCCGTGTACGTGACGGTGAACACAGACATGGTTGTGAGATGGGCCTGAATGGACCCTTCTGACGACCTGAGTGTGGCCCTGGGCCTACTCTGAGGATCGGAAGGTCCACACCTCACAGGGACCAGTGGGAAAAACAAGTGCCTGAGAACTGCCCACTCTTGGGTGAGCCACGTGCTTGCTCAGCCAGCACCTATGGAAGGAGAACAGCACTTGCCATCATGGTTAGTGAATCACGGCAGGAGCGCGAGCGCACCATCGCCCTTCTCCTGCCGCTAAGATCCCGCCTGGAAGAGCTCAAAGCCAGAGAGTTCTAGACACAGGCCGCACTTTTGTCCTCCCCAGTGTGGTGCCTTGCCGAGGAAAGCCTGGGGGAGAGGCGGCCAGAGAGCCTGCCGGGAGAGGCCCACATTCCCCTGAAAGCACAGCGCAGAGGCCCCCAGGGCAGGAGACAAGGACCTCCAGCCCTTACTCCTCCCCTCCCGGGCCCTCGGACCCTGTGCTGCGGGCAGGCCCTCGTGCCCAAACATGCTCCCCAAACAGAGCCTGGAAGATGTCCTAAGGGAGATGCTTCCGCTGGTCAGGTCGGGGTCATTCTGAAGGAAGAAGGCAAAGCAGTCAAGGTAAGCGGAACAGGAAGCGGCTGCTTCTCATCGCTAGGTTCTGCAATTTCCTAGAAAGATGGCAGCTTCTACAATCACACATGCTGATTTATGAGAACAGACACAGTGGGACGTGACTTTACTGTCAAATGGCTCTTTGAGGTGACAGCATGACTCAGGTAAAGTTCTCAGGCATGTGGGCCTCCTGCAGGCCGAGGGGCCCAAGTCCATGTGTCCCCAGTTGAAGCTGGACACACAGGCACACAAGACATTTTGCCAGGCCTCAGGGGCCCAAGAAGACCTAACTGGACTCAAGCACTGCTGCCACCACTCATGGCCCTGTGCCCCTCAGCTGACCAGGGTTCGAATCCTGTCACCACCATTCACTAGCAGTGAAACCACCCGCACACGGCCTGACCTCCCTGGGCTCCTTCCTCTTTGTGAAACCGAGACCAGTGGGGCTTGAGGAAGGGTCAGGAGTGCCCCTGACACAGCGGGCTCTCCCCGGAGGAGGCACCTGGCCTGGCGCTGCTCTCCACCCACCCCATAACCACCAGACCCTGGGGACCAGAGCTCTTTGGGGCACTCCAACTTCTATCTCACATAGCAGAGCCAAAAATGGGTAACTGTGGTGGCCCAGGCCTTCATGGGGACAGAGGCTGTGGTCTCTACCTCCTCTTTCTGCTGCTGTGGTCCTTTGAGGGAGGGGTTGGGAGCCCACACCGAGCCCAGAGCCAGCATCTGCCTCCAGCGACGGTTCCCAGTCCAGCTAAGTTCCTTCCTCTGACTAAACTGCAGCGAAGTGCCGCGCAGCCTTCCTCCACAGGGCAGCACCTGCCTGCAGTTTACAGGCCATTTCCTGTGCCGGGACCCTCGCTGCTGAGGACACCCCGCCCTCGGCTGGGCCTGAGCGAGGCTTCTACATCCGCTCCCCCTGGGAGAAGCTCCAGGCCGCTCTACCACTTCACAGGGAGGAGCAGGAAAGACTGCTTTTAGTTTAATGAGGCGAATTACGAAAAAGTACGTTCAGATTGCCCCAGGTAAAATGAAAAGAGAAAACAGATATAAGTCCACGGGGGAAGGCCCAAGAGGCACAAGATGGGAGTGTAGCAAAGTGCCATCACCCAGCTCACGCTCAGGCTGCCAGGGGTCTGACTGCACAACAGAGGGGCAAACCGAAGACACCTGGTGCGACGGCCAACCCCTGCCTGTCACATGACATTATCCCACCACCCATGATACTCCTGGCAACACCTCTAACTTAATTCCAATCCAGACCCTAGATCTGTTTCCCAGCTCACACAAGTGTAGAATGAGAACTGAGCAAATACTACACAAGGCAGCCATGAGCCAACCCCGCCCCAGGGATGCTGCAAGGCAACTGCCGGGTCTCCTGCACAGCAGGGTCAAGAGAAAAAGGGAATTCGCTGCAATGCGACCAAGGGGACAGGACAAGCAGATACAACTCGTGGTCCTGGGGTGGCCTAGGGTTAGACAGATGAGTGGGAAGACACTTTGAGGACAGCTGGCAACTGTGTACGCAGTACTGGATGGCTCTGTTAGGGTGGCACCGGCTCACTCTGCAGGAGGCATGCTCAAGTGCTGCTGGGGAGAGCTTCTCTTTAACACTCCGGCATCAAAGGAAGCGAGAGCCACTCCTCTCCCAGAGGAAACAACTGTTGACATTTTCTTGTGATTCCACCCAGAAAAGCTTTCCAAGGCATGCT